GTGGGCCGGCCGCGGCCCGGGCACCTTAGCTGCATTTGCACGACTTGACGATCATGTTGGAGAGCTGCTCGATCTTGGGGGTCTTGCCGATGTAGTAGAGGATGGTCAGCGGCTCCAGGTCCTGGGACACGCAGCAAGGCGAGGCGGAGGCTTCGGGGTTTATGGTATTATACAGGCTGAGGACCTGCGGGGACACGGGGGAGAGACGACAAGGACAGGAGAGAGAATTAATTCTTAAAGACCCATTCCCTGTTCTGATCAGTCAGGGCCCGGGACGGGCGATTTCAATTATTTGTGTTTACAACCTCCTTTTCTTAACCCCCGATTATGGCCAAAATGGTACGTGTCCCTGGTAACCGGCGGAGCCGTCGGTTTCTGCAGAACCCCTTTCTCATACATGGTAAACGGAGGGCTCTTTACAAGCCGGATCAGACAAGATGGCTCATTTGACAGATTTTACAGTTTTTCCCTTAAATTTTTTTTTTTTTTTTTTTTTGCGGCACATATGTCCCAGGCCCTCAATAAACGGCTCTTAGTGCTTGGTGTGGTCTCTGCACTTCCCCGTATTTGTCTCTGCCTGTCCCCGGTCCCACCCCGAGCGCGTTCCCATGCGGTCGGCTCTGCGGGCTTTGCTTTCGGCCTCGCAGCCCTGCGCGCTCGCCTCCTGCAAACCAGACCCACGTGCTGGGTGAAGAGGCGAGTGCCTAGCCCAGCAGAGGGATAAAACTTCTCGCAAAACCTTCCCTCAGAGCTTTGATCTCCCCGCAGGCAGAGAGAAAGGCCCCTGTCTGCAGAGTGAGATCCTCCTAGGCTGACTTCTCGGGCCAACTGAATGTCACCTGAAGTTTCATTTAGAAGAAATAAAAAAGGTAAAGGCCTTGTCAGTTATCATTGTTTCATAAATACAATGACATCAAAAGCAATCTACATATATTTTTTAATATTTGTGTTGATTTTAGAGAGAAGGGGAGAGGGAGAGAAACACTGACGTGAGAGAGAAACATCGTACGCGCCCCAACTGGGGATCGAACCCGCAACCCGGGCTTGTGCCCTGACTGGGAATCGAACCGGCGACCTCTCGGCGCTCAACCAACGGAGCCACACCGGCCAGGGCCAATCTTACATTGTGTTTAAAACAGTAATAAAGATAATGACAATGAGAGTAGTCAACCCTCTGTTCAGCTTTCCAGCGGGCGGCCGGGCCTAACACGAGGGGGTCGTTCCGCAGTCAGTCCCGGGCCCTTAACCCCGTTTCTTATCTGAGGGGACTGCAGCTTGTTCCGATGGAAGCAAGTTCCCCGGTGATGATAAGGAGTCATTTCCAAGGATGCCATTAATGTGTTAGTCAAACAGCCGGTGACCTTTTCCTCGAGATCCACTGCGATTTTCTCAGCCCGGGACAGAGGATCCGTTCAGCCGGCAACACTGACCACTTTATGAAGCCGCCTCTGGCTCCTTGGGCAGCCGTCCAAACCACATATTTGTGACCACGACAGTTCTTCTTCCTCTCTCCTTGAAAAACAAGCGTGGCCTCTGCCTTCACACACTCCCTCTGTGTATCTGGGAGGGCGAGTTAGGTTTCTACTTGGCAGCTGGGCCTTGCCCACATTACGGCTACGGTTGCCACAGCCCAGATGAGGCGGCCTGGCCAGGGAGCCCGGACCAAGGGACAGGCATGGGCAGGCTTCCCTCACGTGGCCAAGCGCATGGCCGGCCCCGGGTGCCAGCACCTGCAGGGGGGCTGGGGAAACAGCTGAGGGCAGGGGAGCCATAGGTGTCAATTGAGAGTCCAGCATATGCGGGCATTTATAAATAAATAGGCTTCATGTTCCCCTAACGCATGATTTTTCATAGGAATTAAAGAGGAATTGGATAATGCGGATTGTCTAAGATAATGGATAACCCCGAAGCTCTCTGAGTTCGGCTGAATGCGTTATGGGATCTAGTTGGCAGTGGATGCGTTTTCCTACCCTGCAGCGAAGGCAGTTTTTCTAATGCCTCTTTAATGAGGAGATTTAGAGGCAAAACCCCAATGCGCGGCCACATGTCAGGAATGAAACCCAGTAAGACAGAGCAAACGGTGGCCTAGTTATAAAGCAAGGAGTCTACCTTCCGAGGAAGGAAGTGCAGCTGACCCTTGAACAGCACGTGTTTGAACTGCGTGGGTCCACTTATATGCAATTTTTTCAATATATATACAGTCAGCCCTCTGTATCCCGGGATTCGCATCCACAGACTCAACCTATGGCAGATGCGGGGACCGACAGGAGGTGCTGTTCCACTCCCTATTACATAAAAGACCTGAGGTCTCATTTTCTTAGTATCCTTGAAGGGTCCTGGAACAAATAACCTGCCGACGCAGAGGGACGGCTGTAGCTAAGTTTTGGGGGAGTCAAAAGTTAAATGTGGATTTTCAATCGTATGTGTGTGGGGGGGTAGGTGCCTCCAACCCTCGTATTGTTCAAGGGTCAACCGTTATCGGCAGGTCCACGGCAGCAACCCAAGGACGGAAGAGACAAGTCAGCCAAGTGCTTACCCTACTGTGCTGCGTGTCTGAACTCCAGAGATACGGGCATGCCCCAGCACAGAAGTTGGCATTGTACCCTTTGGGTTCATGGATCCATTTCCACCCAAGATCCCTCTTGAAATCAATGTAAAGTGGACGTAGGCAGCAATTATCCTGCACATTTCTGTTAAAAGAAGAGCAATGGAGATTTTAAAGCTGATTTCCCCCCCTGCCCTCATCCCAAACCAGAAAAGTGCCTCATTCATTTATTCAACAGATATCTATCAGCAAAGATCATGGGCCAGGTCTTAGTGGTTTTACTGTGATCCGAGTGACTTTCGTGATGGGGTGTTACGGTGATTTGCTGGGGCGACTTTCCCTTTTCGACTCTATACCCTGAGCCCCTGGCCGTGATGCTGAAAATCAAGCCTTTCCCTTGAACGACTAGATAGAGAGGTGGCTGATGGAGACCAAGCTCTCTCCAGCCAATGCTGCCCAGTGTAGCCGGCCAGCCTCTACCACCCTTTCCAATCTAAAATGATGAAATACAAGAGCTATTTTCAAAGCTCCATCTAAAGCATTTTCCTTTGAAAAGAAATCCTTTATTTCATGTCATGCTCCTTGATCTAGGAATGAACTGAAGGCCGAGAAACATGGAGTCTTGCTTAGTGCAAACACTGGCCCTCGCAACCCCCAAACGCCACTTCGCTCGTGACTCTGATGCTTTGTCAGTGAGGACCTGTCACACCCCGCTCTGGAAATAGAGCCTTCCTCTCGGCAGGCCTGGTAAGGACCCACGGGAGACATTCACGCTCTCCCTCCACCAACTCCCACGGGAGGGGGATGAGTCGGTGTGCCCTCACTTCTCGCATCTTCTGCAGCTCAAGACATGACAAATAGCATTCGCCTTCCATGTCTCTCATCTCTGCTGCTGTGACCTGGGCAGCCTGCAGTGGGGACGAAGGCCTCATGCAGACAGACAGCGAGTCTCCCCAACTAGGGGGCCACCATCGCGCCCTTCAAATAAACTTCCGTCTGCTCTGGGGAGCAGAGAGCTTATTCTCTTCTTGAGCCCCAAAGAACTTCAGAAGGACTTGGGGGGGACCCTCGGGGGGGCTAGTTTTCTCCCTTTACACTCAATTCGTTGCTCGAGAGGTGACGAACACCACACAGAAATAACTACGCTAAGCCTCTGGGAGGAATGATGCTGTGAAATGCGATGGCCACGCTGTTTCACGCCTGGCCCTACGCAATGAGTGCAGGTCAAGTCAGCTCATGGTCAACGAACAGGCAAAGGCAATGAAAGAGTTACCAGATACAACTGCTTTGTTTTATTTTTATTTTCTTTACCTAAAGCAATAGGCTGCATCCAGAGCGCGCTTCTTCCGCCGGTTGGACTGTTGTGACTCAAGTCTGTAGGAGGGTAACAACATTAGCAGGAGATGTGGGGTCTTCCCACTGTTTTTTTTCCTAGTGGACTTTATAGTTTTCTGATCACCACTGGTATATGTGGAGGTGCCATCAATACCTTGAAAAAATGCATTTGGGTAATAAACATTTAGCTTTACCTTCATCACATATCATCAGCCATATTTCTTTTCTTTTCTCGTCTATCGTCACAAATAGCAGTGATGACCACGACGTCAGCATCAGCTGGCGACAGTCATTCCCCCACGGAAATAGACATGGCACAGCGGGACTAAGCAGGTGACAGCGAACACTTCTAAATGGGGCTCCTGGCAGGAGGCAGTTCAGGGTCCAAAACAGGGCTTGCGGGCTATGAAAGTCACTACAGAAAAAGCCTTTGACCTCGAGTCCAAGGGCAACCTAGGCAGTTGATGTGAGTCAGTCCTCAGTTCACGCTGTGTCCAACCCCTCACGCTGAGCGCGCAGCAAGAGAACCTGCCTTGTCGCCCTCTGGTTCGCTCGCTTCCTGGGACTACCAAACCCAAAACTTTCCTAATGAGCAGAAATTAAGGCTTACACTGAATTGCAGTGAATTGGGTTCAAATGAAACAGAAGTCACCCTCACCGATGCTATTTGGGGAAGAAAGGGCTTTTTCATTGGGTTTATGGCACCCTCAGCACCTTCCTGATTCCATCGGAGATTTAGAAACTCAAGCTCCCCAAAGCACGCGCAGGAGGCTGCCAGTTTAAGCATTTAATCCCCACACCCTAGAGAATCATGACGAGGTTAGAGACTGAAATAAACCTGCCCTCTGGGAGTATTTTTCCATGAGCCGGGGCCACCGGAGCCTTCTGCAAGTGGAGGGAGGTCCCAGGTGGTGCCGCTTAGGGATGGGAAACGGGCACCCTGACCTGGTGGGTGCGGGGCCAACGCTGCAGGGCACACGACACCCATTGCCCTCTCAATCTCTCAGCATCCAGTGACTCCTCATCTCACACGTCTTTGGACAGTGACAGAGGAGAGGGAAGTCTACATCACGGGCATCTCCTTGTCTTCCACGATTGGCTAATTCACTAGCAGGTGAGCAAGAGCCTGGGGAAACTAAAACCTCGCTATGAGTTCATAAACTATGATAAGAGTCTGATAAGGAAGACACTCAAGATGTTGGGCACCAGCCAGAAAGAGTGGTTCCCATACACGTCAGGTTGGCTCCCATACAAGTCATGTTGGTCAAAGGGGCCGCAGAGCGAGGGGCCTTCCTGCTCCTGTGGAGTACGGTTGTGGGTCCCTGACGCTGGTTTGGGGGGTTTCCTTGAACGCATGCCGCCTTCTTCTCTGACAGCGTTAGCAAAGGTGGGGAAGTGGTTTGCTCAAACACTCAACTAACAGTGGGGAGGGCTGCTGAGTCAGTCCGTCGGCACTGCCAGGTCATCCCTGGGCATCCATCGAGCAGCTTAAACCGGGAGCCAGCCCTTCTTCCAACCCTTCTGCCTTCCAGGATCTCTCTCCAGCCATATCTTTGCCCGAACAAACGAAACTCCCCAGGCCTCGCCAGACAATCCGGCCCCCCCGTGGGGACCGCAGCGCCAACAGCCCCGCGATTGCCCGAGCAGGCCCTCCTGCCCCCGCCGCAGCCGCTGAGTCTCCCTTACCTGCGAACCGTGCCTCCAGTTCCTCGCTTTTGTTGGGGATGATGTAATTATTAGAGGGCACGAAGGTGCAGCAGGGACAGTGCAAGCTTATCTTAAATCCCAGGTTCCTGTCTGGAAAACATGAAGCCAAGGGGGTCATTCGTACGTGCGTCTAGGCCCTCAGATCCGCAATCAGCCTGCAATTACTTAGGGTCGCTGGACCTCTAGGGAGGGAAACAGAGGGTGGGAGTAACCTTTGTGGTGGAGCCATTCCTGCACAGCGTCCGTCACGTCGAAGGAAAGCCATTCCCCCTCCGCCCTGGTTTTCACCACTTTGCTGTCGATGTAGCGCTGGGTTGGAGACGTCAGGTCTTTGGATTTGAGGATCTAGAGCAGGGAAGAGCAAAGGGAAACGAGCTCATTGGCACGCAGACAAGCAGGGCGAACCCAAGGCCAGGGACAGAGTTCCAGGTCATTATCTAAATTTAGCTCCGCTCCAGAGTATCCACGTAGCGTCCTCTCCAAAGAGTGGCCACGTGCAGGGAAACGTAACGCCAGGCCATTCGCCATGAAAAACAGGGCCACTAAATCAGCTGCGTCTGTGATAAAGGTGACAGGGCCCATAAGGCCAAGTGTCTAAAATAAAGCGACAGTAATTGTTTTACTTTGCTGACATAAGCTTTGTGAGACTTCAGCCATGAATTCTATGCTATTAAGTTAATGGTTTTGTTATCCTGCTTGGGGGACTTAGGATGCGGGCAGGGGTCCGGTTCAGAGGACCCACGTTCACCCCCTGCAGGCCCCTGAATTATAAATCTCTTGCTAATAAAGAGAAAAAGGTCCTAACCCTCGTCGCTAAATCCACTGGCATTAAAAAAACGTGGCATGCCTCAGCTTTCGAGGTGAGTCCCGAGCTGGGATATTTACTCTCAGTGTGACTTGTTATGATTTATAAAGTTTTCCATATCCCACGGACTAAGAATGGATTTGGGCAGGAGAAGTCTGGCCCGGTGCATAGTGAGAGTCTGAAAGAAAATCAGCCCGAACACGGAGATTTAGAAGGAGGCATTTATTTCAAATAAATAAAGAGCAATTGCAGTGTGTTCTTGGATTTCTGTAGGAAGTGAACATTTTAGGGGTTTTTAAGAAAAATTATGCCTGTCTTTAAATGACAGTGTTTTTCTGAACCAGCCAAACCAAGATCCTAAAGTCTCCTGGAGCTATGTTAACTCCCTACCCAGGCCCATAGCCTGCCCTTCCCCGGGACTCAGGGGCTCAAGCCCTGGGTTGTTTTTTACCGCCCTTCATGACACTGAGTCTACTTTTCTGTGATCATTTCATACAGATGGCCTTGCTCTCTCCAGCAGGTTCCTAAGCTTCCCCAGGACTGCATCTTCAACTTGATATCATTTCAAAGCACAGCTCTCGATGTAATTAAATGACTATGATTTATTTACTCTCCTTGTAAAACAAACATGCATGATCTTCCTGTTGATTTTAAAACGCACTGCTCTTCTGTGTGTCTATGGTTTGTCTCAGATCATTTGGCAACAAATGCACTGTAGAATATTTGGCATTATAGTAGCCTGTTTTTTGTGGGGTTTTTTTCTGGATTCAATAAGTTTACAAAAGGAAAGAGATTCATACAATTGGACTTAGAGGTGCTGGCATGAATTTTAGACAAACCCTATTTACTCTACAGACCTTTGCCCCTAAGGTCCAATAAACCTCACTAAGTGGACAGAATCTAATCACGGTTCTCCCAACAAGCAGGAGATGCTCTTTGTGAATTAAAAGAAGCAAGTAAACAGGACTTAAGGGCTGGGAAATGCTGGGTTCTGGGCTTGGCACATGTTATTTAATTTAATTTAATCCTCAAAACATTGCTGCAAGGTAGATTAAGAAAGCAACTCTGGGAGGGTTGGAACACGAGTCACCCTCACGCTCTTCCAGGTGACACAGAACATGCCACGATCGAGGCAATGATTTTTAATGAGATTATAATAAATGTTGGGACAAGGCGAACATATAACGTGTGGACAATGCACACACGGTTAATGCTGACAGGAACCTATAACTTTAAAAACAGAGCTTGACATCAGCCAATCCTCTGGAAATCCAACCTCGCCTTGAAAACACTCCCAGTCGGGCAAATAAGATGTCACGTATCCAGTTCAGAGTAAATGGCTCAATTAACCTAACCTGGGATAACAATGATACGACAATGGGGGGAAGTTCTGGGGCATTTCCATCTGCCTCACTGTCTACAAAACTACTAACTACCCAGGATTCACTTTCTGTCTTTAAATTCCCTGCCCGGGCTGGCCTCCTGTAATGATGGGTTACTTTAGAAGGTTCTGGTCATCTGCGTTGCTCCGAATTAGCACGGGGTCTTATCCTATTTGTGCACGTGTCCTTAGCACTTAGACATACCGTCCAGGGCAAAACAGGTTCTGACAACAGACAACTGTCGCGTGGCTGAAAGGTCCTTAGTATCTTTTTTATTAGTTCAGGACCGAGCCCATCGAAACCACCCAAGAAAGACGGCCAGCCGGCTACGTGACCCTGAGACGTGGAAGCCACTTTGGTCTCGGGGGCCTGCCGTCTCGAACTTTCTGGCCAAGGGGCTCTTAAACCCACTTGCTGGAGTTTAACTCCAGTCTTCTCCAGTCCTCTGTTCCAACAGGAAGCAGCTGCTTTCCATCACCCAGAGAATATCCCTCGCGGCCTTGGGGCCTATTAGTAAGTCCCCCGCAGCATGCTCGCTCCCTCTAAGCTAAATAAACCCAGTCCCTGGAGCTGATACCGAGAGGGGCAGTTTCCCAAACCTTTAACCATGTGGGTCGCTAACAAGGATGAATGACACCCTAGGAAAGCACTCCTCCTCCAGCTTCGAGATTCTGCTTCAGAGCCGGCCAGAGAACCTAATCACATCTCCAAGTCTCCCATCTCGGCTTCAAAGGGATCTGCTTTCTAAGAATAGGCGCAAGCTCCCCATCCCGTTTACTTTCCATTTATCACCCGCCCTAAGTTAAACTAAGGGGAGAAAATCCATCAGTCCTTCCTTCAGTTCAAGAGTTTATACAAAAGTGACCAGATCGGTCACCTTCCCATTCTCTTTTGGCCTCTGCCCGTCTCTAATCTCCCAGCAATGCATGTACCGAGAGCTAACAGTGGTGAGTATCCAGCTGTTTTCTGTGGAGCCACAGTCCTCTCTGAATATCTTTATACGTCTTTACGTGACAAGGAAAATTCAGTTGACGAGTAGAAGCTCTCTTAATTGGCCTCCATTGAACTGGCCAGATTAACCAGTGTTCCCCATTTGTTCGGTAATATATATGTAAGCAGGTACCCACTGAATGCTGGGGCTCATTGTTGGAAAGCTACAGTCTAGTAGGTTCCGAGTACTTCTGGCCTCACCAGCTGAGTTATATGCTTAGCAGGGATCAACTGTATACGTTTCTAAACCTGTTTATGATAGTTGGACTTGCTAGTGTAATTATCCAAGTTAATTAAGTGGTCTAGAAACTGAGAAATACAGGACTAGATGTCAAGAGAGCCGTTGTTGCTGGGAAAAGCGAGCGGAGTGCCTTAGAAAACCTTCATAAAGACATGTTGCCGTAAAAAAATTTGGGGAGGGGGGAGGGAAGTTTGGTGTTTCCTCAAAAAGGTAAACATAGAATTCCCATATGATCCAGCAATTCCACTCTTAGGTATAAACCCACAAGAACTGAAAGCAGAGACTTAGAGACTTGGACACCGACGATCACAGCAGCTGAAAGGTGAGAACAACCTAAGTGTCCATCAGCAGACATACGGAGGAACAAAATGCCACATACACATAGAAGAGAGTTTTATTCAGCCATAAAAAGGCATGAAAGGCTGACACATATTACACCGCGGGTGAACCTTGAAAAACATTACGCTAAGGGAAGTAAGGCAGGCACAAAAGGACAAAGACTGTGTGATTTCACTTATCCGAGGTGCCCAGACCAGGCAACTTCATAGAGATAGAAAGAAGAAGAGCCCCGCACTCGGGTTGCAATTGTCCTGAGGCTTTTCTATCCTTCGGAGAAATCGAGAGCTAGAAATTGTAGATGATGCACCGTGGACGCGGTTCATGCGAAAAGTGGGACGAGGGTGGGCTGCAGGCAGAGCCGTGGTCAAAGACAAGTCCTTGGCCTTTTATAAGAAGCTCAGAGTGTAAATTGTGTGTGTGTGTGTGTGTGTGCATATACACATGTGTTTTAAGTTAAAATATTTAAGATCTGCATTTTCTCTCTCTCCCTCTCTCTCTCTCTCTATGTCTCTATAATCCCCTGCTTTAAATGACATTTTTCTTTACATAACAGACCAACCCATTCCTTATTGAATTAGAAGAGAGCCCCTAATATACTGAAAATTAGATTCAGCTGTCTGTCACTTAGCTGCCACCCACTCTGCTGCTTGAATCTTGCCTCCATTACATTATTGATATACACACATTATCTGTGTTATGTGCAAAATATCCACACACTGCCTCTGGCGAGGCTCTGAGCTCTTCACTGAATTACAAAACTCCCTGCACAAAAGGATCCATTCATCTCTCGGCCCCTGGAAAGCAGCCAATCAGGGAGTGGATGGAGGCAAAAGTCACTGGTGTTACCCAATAGTTTGGGGGCAAAAAAATAAATAAAAGAAATAGGAGTCTGGATGCAAAATTATAGCTGGAGGGAATCTTGGTCTTAAAGGAATGATGGTGTAAGTCAATCAGGACTTGGCTTAGACATGAAGGAAGGATACCTCTTCCACTCCTGTGAGACGTTGCAAAGAGCTATAAGAAAATGCTGGAAACTTGATTGCATGTTCAGGTATCAGCAGACCTACAGGAGTGCCAGGAGGCCACAGCAACCTGACTTAGAAAGGGACACTGAACTCTAGGGCTATAGAGGAAAACCCCAGCTCAACTAGGATAAGCCCATCTTGCAGTGTCTTTAAAGGCATTTAATGATTTTAACGTAGTTAATGTAAATATTTGCGGTGACTTGCACGGATTAACGAATGTTGAACTACACGTTTGCTCTGCTGGCTCTGAGCACCGTGCTCTCAGATCTGCCTGACAGTGAGCTGGTAACCTCAGGAGCATGAAATGCCCGCGTTAGAGAGGCACTCAGAGGTCATCTGCTCCAAAACAACACAATTCATTCTCCAACTGCTCTGTCTTCGAAGACTTCTCGGGACGGTGGACTCGCTACTTTTGAGAAGGGCCAGCTCACGGTTGGACAATTTGGCATCAGGTTAATCCTGTGTGTATGGGAGGGCTGTAAATGTTAATTTCTTTCCATGGGATATCGAGCTCCCAAAAGATAGAGGGAAACAACAGCACTTAATCTCCAGACCTGTATCCTGGCTTGCCGACACTAACAGCTTCAAGAATGCACATTTGTTGACTTAATTTGGGAGGATCCTGACTCTCTGGGTGGGAATCTTGGTAATACCAACGTTCATTCTCACGCAGACAGACAGAGCCCACTCCTGAAGGTATGTCTTGGCTTGTCCACCAAGAAACATCTGATTCTCCCCAATTCTCCAACATACGCCAACATCCGTTCTCCGGCAAGATCTCGTTGACTGTGGAGGAGCCTTGCGCCCTCGTGACAATAAAAGTGAAAGAAAAAAACAAACAAACGTGACACGTACTAAAACATTTAATATAATCAGTTAATTCGTTCAGTCGTCAATCACTGAATAATGAGCGCATTAGAAACATCTGGAAGGCTTGTTAAGACGCCAATGATATGCACCTGCGCCCTCATTTACTCATTGGAATTCATGTTGTAGCTCACTTCCTCCAGTTCAGCTCAACAAACAGTGCCAGCCGTGAGCCAGGCCTTGCCCTTACACCCCAGGCCAAGGAGGGAACCCGGGCATCTCACCCGAAACTTCAAACAGTTTCCTCTCTCACAGCTCCGGAGGCCAGAAGCCAGCAGGCAAGGTGCGGACTGGGCCCCGCTCCCTCCAGCGCCTCCAGGTAGGGGGAGCCTTCCCAACCCGCTTCCAGCACCTGGTGACTTGCGGGAAACCTTGGGTATTCCTTGACTTCCAGCCGCAGGACGTCAACCTCTGCCCCTGTCCTCACAGCAGGCTCCCTGAGGGCCTCTGTCTTCGCACGCCGGCCTCTTATAGGGACACCGGTCATATAGGATCAGGGCCCCACCCTACTCCTGTAGGACCTCATTTGACCATAACTAATTACATCTTCAACAACCCTGTTTCCAAATAACATGCTCTGAGGTCCCGAGGATTAAGACAACCTCTATTTTTCGAGGGGACACAATCAACCGGTAACAGAGTTCTGACACTGCACTGGGTTGAGTCTGTTCAAAACGCTCAACCCGACTGTGAAGCTCTTCAAGGCAAAGACCCTCCTGACCCTTTCTCACTCTCCCAGGGTCTTTCCCCTGCTGTCTGCAAGGTCCCTGCTTGGTAAATTCTTATGGACCAAGAGCCTCCAGTAGAAAGGCACACACGGTCAAGGACAGAGAAGCCCATCTTTTAGAGTGATAGACAGAAACTACTTCTTGGAATTTTACACACAGACACACACACACCACAGAGATTATATATATTCACACATATATTCCCAAAAAATGTACACACACTTTAACAGCTGATAGCTCAATTTTTGAAAACAAAATGTATTTTAACAAGCACTGCCTTTTTAATGATTCAAAGTGCGTGTGTACATTGCTTTGGGACACCCAGTATATAAAGATAACAGAAAGAATCACCAGGTAGTGTGAGCAATTTTATACTGTATTTTACCCTCTCTAGGTCATCGACTTCACTGTGGAATGAAAATTAGAGAGAAAACCCAAGAAAGAGAATTTCCAAGTACAGAGGATCAGAAGTTAGGGAAATGGCCTTCCTCTCACTGAGGCGTAAATGCAGCCCTGTGCCCGCTTCCTGCTCAAGGGCAGCCTCCGTGAACGGCGCGGGGCCGCTCTGGGGGTGCCCAACAAGCCGACGTGCGGCCCGATTACCCTCCAGGACTTATCTGGCTCCCGCCACCGCCACGTCCCGGGGTGGCCGCGGCTCCTTTGTGGTTGCATCCGCCCGGGAGGGCGTCAGGAGTCCCGCACAGCCTGCCCGGTGGACTCGGGTGGAACCAAAGGAAAGCCCCATGTAAAACACAGCCTCTCGGGGGCGCAGGTGTCTTCACTATTGTGTAGCTGCAGGGTCTCTCTCTCCACACAGCGCGTAGTTCCTATGCGACATCTGTCCACGTGCAGTTAGGATAAAGTCTGACATGCAGAGAGCCCTAGGACGGCGTCACCAGGTCTGCCTGCAGACGCACGCACACGAAGGCCTGTCTCTCCCCTGTGATGAAAACACCTTATAATTCTCTATTGTTCCCCCTTGTTTTTTGTGGGTTTTTTTTTTTCTTTCTCTACAGATGGGCCTTTGTGCCGTTGGCACATGTGCGTGAACAAGTGAATCCGTTCCTGCAGGTCGAGGGATGAAGGAGCCCTTTGTGTGATGAGGCTCTCGGAAGCTGCAGCCGAGTCACCTGCCTGAGACCATCATCTGGAAACCACAGGGCAGAGAGAAAGGCCCGGCCGCCCGGCCCGAAGGCTCCCGGCGAGGGCAAGGCCAGGGAGGTGCGGCGCGACCCTCGACGGCGGGGTCTGAAGGGGAAACTAAGGCGGGTCCACGAGTCAAGTCAGTCCCAAAGGCCGAGCCTCACACGCTGGGACGACTGGAGTTATCAAAATACACGGTCTCCCACTCAGACCTTTGTTTACTGCTGTTACCTCCTAATCAACAGTTCCAGTTGTTTCCTGCCACGTGGGGAACCGTATTGTAAGGATTAAATGAAATCTAAGGATGGAATGAATCAATCTACAGAAAGCGGCTAAAATAGGGCCCAGCACACAGGAAGCTGTTAGCAATGACTGTCAGCACTGTTGCTGAGTCGCATTCCCCAAAAGAGCACGGAATATTAGCTGCAACTGCATGATTACTAACATTTCTTTGAATGCAGTGTGGCAGAACCACTGTGCACGTGGGGTCCCCTCTGCTCGCGAGGTAAACAGATCCAGGGTAACGTCATACTTAATGCAAATGATAACGATCCGGTTTCCCTGGGAGGCCAGCGAGCCTGTCACTCGACCAGGTTGAAAAAACCCTGAGATATTAATAGCCTCGCACAAACAAAGTGTTTATTATACTTCACGGCTTTTTTCTGGCTTTTTTTTGAAGTGGGTTACTGTGCTCTGTGTGTCTCAGTGTGGTGCGGGGGTTAGGATCAGTAGTAAGGAGGTCGCACGCTGTAAAATTCTGCACAACACACGCTCTAACTTTTTTTTTTTTTCTCCCAGTAGCACTTTGTGCAAAGTCTAATTGAACAGACAGTCGGTTTTTCTGGCTGACATTTTATTTTATACGCCCTCGGGCAATATGAGAAATGAAAGCTGAACTCTGTGGGGGGGTGTGTGCATGTGTGTATGTTTGGGGTTAGGAAAAGGGGGCTTCTTTCATTAACCCCATTAGTGCCATACTCCCCAAAATGTCAGGGTCCCCCAACCTTCATTTTGCAGCAATAGGGTCCCTTATAAAGCAGGTTGACACCATCAACCATGTATTTTCTCTCTAAAGCCTCAGGGGGATGTGTAGTCTAAGGCCTTTTGCAGAGATGATGCCTGTGTGTCAGATATTCATTAAAGCGGCCGGTGATTCACTTCTCCCACTCAGACCTTTGTTTACTGCAATTACCTCCTAATCAACAATTCCCCCTTTCACCCTCAAATCTGAAACACCGTTTAACACTCACTTTTCAGCTCGAAGACAAAAATAAACGAGTTGGAAAGGCTTAGGATTTAGCCACGGCCTTGCAGATCCTTGCAACAGGTAACCCTGCTATCAGAGGCCACTCCTCAGAGCACAAGGTCAGGAGCCAAAGAAGGACAGCGACTTAGCCTGTGTCACTGGCCGCAATACCTGTGAGGCCCGGCCTTCCACCTAACTGGAACAGGGCCAGGGAACAACCCAAGAGGCCGTCGTCTGAACGCAGAAACAAGTCAGAGTGATTTGATTCAAAAAGAAAACAAAAGAGGACATGTAATCATGGTTCAGTTATCATTATTTTTTTTAAATCACCTCAAAATGTGGCTGGCTACCTTTGATCTAACTTTTTTTTTTTTGAGAATCCAGGCTTTGCTTTTCTTCCAAACACCACTCCACCCGCTAGCCAGCCTGATTTTTAAAAATTTTTCTTCTACTCTGGCTGCTACGGAGGCAAAGAGGAAGGGAAACATTTGCCACGAACAGCACAGCGTGTGGTGGGAAGCGGGTGATCAGGGGTCTGGGCCCTGCCACTGCTCCGCTGTGTGTCCCTGGCCACAGGGAGTGACTTTCCGAGCCCTGCCACTGCTCCGCTGTGTGTCCCTGGCCACAGGGAGTGACTTTCCGAGCCCTGCCACTTCTCAGCTGTGTGTCCCTGGCCACAGGGAGTGACAATTTCTGTACGATGTGTGTGTGCACCAGGTGCGGAGCTGGAGAGGACTGGAGAGAGCAGCCAGAATCAGAGGGGCTGAGGTCCATGAGGACAGAAGGAAAAACATAAAGAGGGAAAGAGAAGACGCCAGGAAGGACGGTCACAGGAGAGAAGACAGGACAACAGCCTTAGGAGAAGAGGGCCGGCTGACTTATCTCCTGAGCGCGGGGCTGGGCCGGGGTTTTCTGACCCCCCAGATCAGCGGGTGGACTTCCCAACGAGAGCCCCCCGGAGGGTGGGTACCCCAGCCACTCAGGCCACTGGAAAAGTGTGGCCGGAGCATGACCACCCCCTTCTAAAGGTTCTTCCATCCCAGTGATAAGAGGATTAACCCAGGGGGGCCTGTATCTCTGTGAATGTACGGGATGGTTTGCATCAGCTCAGGAAATCTAAGAAAATAAAAGGACTTTCACCCCCAGATTGGAGCCGATCGTGCATTCAAACCCCCCGGGCGAAGGCTACCTGGTACAGCTCGATCCGCTGTTCGGGAACCCTGGCCTTTGGGTTCTGCAGGCGGAACACTCTGAACTCTGCCTTCACCAGGTTGGAAGCATTTTTTTCCATCGCCGAGACGTCGAACCGGACAATCCTGAAGTAGGGTCTGTAGAAAGTGGGCGGGATGGCATCTGTGAAAAGTTAGGGCAGTCATTGAAAATGATAAAAATCCATTGTCTCAAAAAAAAGTGCAGCGTTAGACAGTCTCGAGAAACCATGAGGAAAGTATCTACAGAATGATTTCGTTTTCAATGGCCAATTTCATACCATTAGCAATTGAACTAGAAAAAAATAAAATAAAATAAACATGTGCATTTGGTTACGGGAGTAGCAGATTAATGGAGATTAACAAACCACTTCCAACTCCATTTGCGGGCGCGCAGTTAACCCTGTCCTTTGAAAGCTGACACAGCCCCGCGGAAAACGTTAGACGGTCATGAGCTGGAGCATGTTCGTGACAGCCGATGCTGGAGAGAGCTGTCAGGCTCGCGTATACTTTAATCACATATGCCAAGAAAATAGCTCCTAATGCAAGCAGTTTGCCCATGTATTTTTCTCCCCCCCCGAAACGTTGGCATCCAAATGTTCTACTCTCTCCAGGTTCATGTATTGCATCTTTTTTTGGCTTCGAAAGTTTGGTTTTTCACTCACATGTGACCAAATACACCCTCTAGTTTGTGAGAATGAGGAAATTTGAATTAAAAAACACACACACACAAAAAAACTATACCCGTATACTGGCGATGCAAGGCCCAGTCTTAAAACTCTATGTTCAGGATAATGTCCTTGGTGGAGGGGATCGTGGCCAATGAAGAGAATCAGCCCATATTCCTTCGGTTTGGAGCCATGTAAACAGCACACAACAGTTTCAAGCTCATGGGTGGCTAGAGTTTTGTTGTTATTTTGTGGTCACCTGCCATTGCTCTAAAGACACCACTGAGGCCATACCAGAAGCAAGGTCCACCTTCCATCCCCACGCGTCCTACGCAGCACCCGCTGATTATGCCCCTACACTGGGCAGGCCACTTGGTGCAAGTGTTTCTACAGTCCCCTTCTAAAATCTCCCGTTCACTTTCTTTCATTATTCTGGAACGCTCTGTCCATCTCCGGTGGCTTCACTACTCCCTTCGACCCTCTCCTGAATGGCACAGCTTCATGAAAACAGAATCATTCACTGTTGTTGATGGCTCTTGTCACTTGTTTTGATAACTTCCGAATTANACGCGTCCTACGCAGCACCCGCTGATTATGCCCCTACACTGGGCAGGCCACTTGGTGCAGGTGTTTCTACAGTCCCCTTCTAAAATCTCCCATTCACTTTCTTTCATTATTCCGGAACGCTCTGTCCATCTCCGGTGGCTTCACTACTCCCTTCGACCCTCTCCTGAATGGCACAGCTTCATGAAAACAGAATCATTCACTGTTGTTGATGGCTCTTGTCACTTGTTTTGATTACTTCCGAATTATGTTTGTTTATTTGTCTGCCCCTCCCCCCGATGCAATTTTAAGAATCTTGAGGGCAGGGAGCATGCTTGCCAAGTCTTTCATACCCAGGACAGGACTCCGCGCACACACAGTTTACGGAATATCCACTGTTTGAGTAGCTGCTCATCAATGGGAGCCTTGAAAGACTCTGGCATCTGGCTATGGGCAAGGCCAAGTTCTTATTAAATAAATGAGCCATCTTGCCGATCTTGAAATAGAAATAAATCCCTTTCGTGATTTCTTGAGAAATCCATGCCCTGACGATTACACTGAAGAAAAAAAAAAAGCTAGGAACACACCAAGATTTCCCCATCTGAGGAGCTCTATGCTTTTTCAGCCTGAAAGCCTGAGAACCTGGCCCCATCCCTGTCCCCAGGTCCTGCTTGCTCAGAAAGCAGCCCGTGGGGAAGCAGTGAGACTGTGTGAATTGAGGCTTTGTAGGTCAGGAGCCAAAAGTCTCAGAAACAAACAAACAAATTAAAAAAATNCCTGGCCCCATCCCTGTCCCCAGGTCCTGCTTGCTCAGAAAGCAGCCCGTGGGGAAGCAGTGAGACTGTATGAATTGAGGCTTTGTAGGTCAGGAGCCAAAAGTCTCAGAAACAAACGAACAAATAAAAAAATCAAAAAAAAAATCTAAGGGATCCAGGTTTTGGAGAAAAGAAAGTATTCATGCCAATACATTGATGCCCACTGCATTACACCATGAAATAGTTGGTGGACCGTTTTCAAGGGGGTGAACATCTATACAAGCAGGAATGTTTTGGGAGCCCCAAGCACAGCAATGTGAAAAAGTAGCTGCCAAGAAGAAATCGATCTTTCTCCCCTCTGAACGCGCCCAGCCCAGGTGATTGAACGGGCTGGTATCAGCTNACTGCATTACACCATGAAATAGTTGGTGGACCGTTTTCAAGGGGGTGAACATCTATACAAGCAGGAATGTTTTGGGAGCCCCAAGCACAGCAATGTGAAAAAGTAGCTGCCAAGAAGAAATCGATCTTTCTCCCCTCTGAACGCGCCCAGCCCAGGTGATTGAACGGGACCAGGCCAGCTGAGAACAGTCCCACACCCAGGACGAGAAGCCTGCGTGGGGCCGGGGCCAGGCACTCGGACTCTGCGCCCTCTCTGCTTTGCCCAGACCCTTCCACAGGCCTCGTGGCTGCCTCCATCGTCCCGTAGCCTCTCCATTGGACAGCAGAAGCTGAAAACATGCTTCGAAAGAGCACCCGGGGAGCGCAAAGCTCACTCAGTGTGCTTCCTGTCATTAGAAAGCGTAAACATCCAGTTCATCTCCCCCGTGCCTTTCCGCGCAGCCCCCGCAGGCCGGGTCCCCGAACACCATCCTTCACACCCGCCCGCCCCATCTCCTCCTTCCACCAAGTGGGTAAATAAGAGCTCTTGAGATTTATTTTTCTTCTCTTTCATGTTTATTAAACTTTGAGCCATTTCCCCCCCCTTTCTGGTCTCCTGCCCATGCACACGCTTTCTTTTTGTGGCTGCCGCGGACCACGAGGTCAGTTTTGTTTCTTCTCCTACGCAAATGGTGCAGCGATCCTGTCCCAGGCTTTCGAGCTTCGAAGGGGCGCTTGCAAATATTTACAGCAGTGGGTTGATAGTGAAGCGTGGCCGTCGGCTCTGCTCCCTCCCCGCTGGCAAGCAGCCCTCGGCCCCGCCGGCTACTAGAACCGTTCTGGCTGTTTCTGGTTCAATTGCCTCATTCTGTGACACAAAGGCACGTTTCTGGATCTTTGTTTTATAAGCAGAAGCAGTTAGTGCAGGAGGTGAGAAGACGGCTGAGCAGCTCCCACCAGCGACTCTGCTTGGGTCTCGTAACGACAGTGAAGGGACCAGGCCAGGGGGAAACAGAGAAGAGGAGACATTGCAGCCAGCACAGGACTCTGAGGGTCTTATAACAGAAAAGTAAAATTCCCCCATGACTTACACTAATTGTCTGGCTTGACTACACATTTCAAACTGAAGGACTTTTAAAATACCCATGCCTGGGACCTGGCCCCTGAGAGTCTGTCTCATTGGACCCTAAAAAGAATGGTCTGGTCTCACTGTAGCCTCAGAATTCTACTCCACGACCCCTCCCATGTTACAATAGCTGAGAAGGAGGGTTTTTAAAAGTATATGTTTTTATTGATTTTAGGGAGAGAAACGTCCATGAGAGAGAAACATCCATCCACTGCCTCCTGCATGCCCCCTACTGGGGACCGAGCAGGCCACCCAGGCATGTGCTCTGACCGGGAACTGAACCGGCGAACTCTCGGTGCATGGAATTATGCTCAACCCACTGAGCCACACCGGCCAGGGCAAGAAAGTGTTTTTAATCCCTATTTCACAGGTAAAGAAACTAAGAGCAAGGAGGGAAAGATAACTCTTGTCTACAGTCAAGGAGAGGCTGGCCTTTCCATCAATTCTGTGGCTTCTCACTTCGACGTCCCGCCTTCCGCGGAGAGGAGCCCCGGAGTCGAAGGCCCGAATACCACCCTAGGCAGAAATACCAACCCCCATCTCAGAGCCTTGTCGCAAGAGATGGGCACAAAGAAGTGGCTCCTTCTCAACCGGCGATCAGCTTGGCCTTGCAAGAAAGCTCGAGAAACTTGAATGCGAGGCCTAGTATCTGCAGGGATATTCCTAAAAAGAATGGCCCTGGTTAGGCGCTCCGGGGCCTTACTCAGGGGCGCTTTGCTGCCACCAGTGTTGCCCAGGGTCTTCTGGATGCCCAGCCTACACTGGCTCTTATCTCCAAGCTCCTCAAAGGAAAAGAACACGCTCCTGTTCCCCTTTCCAGAAATAACTGGACTGTTCCCGCAGCTTCCAGTAATTGGCGTGGACTGTTGACATGCGTAATGCGCTCGGCAGCCCCTCGTCCCTGACATCCCCAGCTTTGAGGGAAGCAGTTTGGGGTTCATTAGGCATCCCCCAGGGGGCCGCAAGACAAGTAACCCACCCAGCGGTTGGAGGGCAATAAAGCAGCCTCTATGTGTGTGTGTGTGCAGACACGGCCAAGCACGAAACCAAGACAATTGTGTTTTGGGGTTTCCTGAAATTTGTCTTGGCACGCCGGGGATGGATTTCATTTCACCACCACATCCCAGACGCTGCTGACATTCAAGTCACAGCGATTTCACACGAAATGACCGAGAAATAAACAGCGCATCCGCCGTGGTTTCTGACGCTCCCTCCGCCATCCCTCGGGTTAAACGTAACCCAGCCCCGGAGCATCTGGCCCTGAGAGTGGGAGTCTCCACTTGGGGGCCGGTGTCAGACTCGACGTGCCCCTGGCACCTGGGAGTCTAACTAACTGTGTCAGCATCAGCCTATGGGACTTGGCCTCCATCTCACTGCTATTTGATGCTGTCAGCGTGAGCGCCTGGCCCCTCCTGACACAGGGCGGCCAAAGAACATAGCGGAGGCGACCCGGGGGGGGTGGCTTTCTGGAGCTGGGACGGACTCGGGGTCTCTGGTTTCTTCTGCAGAGTCCCCAGCACCTTTGTAAAACCCACCTACGGGGAGACACCTATTTCATTTCAAGGCCTCTACACTTCCTTCGTGCCCAGGATGCAGGCCGCCTGGGTGGGAGGGGGGTGCTGGGGTTTAGCAGCAAAATCCTTGGTTGCAGAAAGGGACCAGCTGGCTACGG